GGGTTTTGCTTTTGGGATATATATCTGAGGTTAATTAAGGTGTCCCCCTAAGTAGCCTTTGGTTAGGATTTTGCTCAGTGTCTGCTATGGATATAACTTGTGGAATAGGCTTTCATTTCTGTATACAGTTTGGGGGCTCTGGTGGAAAGACCTTGAAGGTCTTTGGAAATGAAGACTCAAGATACTTCTCTGCTCCTTTGTGAGTGATCAGATCACATCGGGATTCACCAAATGTTGTTACTGTGAGATTGACCTATAAGGATGATAAACAAGCAGTATATTCATTGCTAGAGTAAGTCTCCTGCAGATTACTGGCTTGTTTTCCTATATCACGGAGATAAACTCCCAGAACTGTGGGGCTGGGTGGTACCACTATTGCTACGTAGCTTTAGCTAGGCAAAATCGTAAAACCTGCCTTAAGAGCATTTCTCACTGTCCGCTGTCCTGTTGATTTTATGTTTCCTTGTAAGCTATTTGAAATTCTTTCAGAAACCAGGTTGAAGAGTAAATGCACATGTGTATGTACTCACAAGTCCCTGACTTGTGTCTATAACACAGTCCTTGAGTGCTCAGGATCCATGTTGATTCTCTATATTTGAACAGAGTCCAGATATAATGTTTAGTGTGATTATAGCTCGCAAGTATATGGAAAACCAAAATAAAGAGCAAAGAATGTGAAAGTTGGAAGACACTTGCATGTGCTCTAAAGTGGACAAGGCAAAAAACCAGTAGACCACTATCCAACGCACCCTGCTGGCAATGAGCTAAACATCCACACAGGGGAAAGGGAATTGTGAACGGCCAAATTAGATAGGACCTAATGATTAGGCTCCTCTATTCTGTAAATTTTCCTGAAGTTCGTGGTAAAGAGTAAAAGTGTTCGTTGTCTTTTTACTCTGGTTCTCTCCTGGGACTGAGAGACTGAGACACTCTTTATTCCATTTTGTGAGGTTGGTTTCAACATCTTAGATAGAATGTTTGTTCTGTTTGAAAGAAATAATTCCACGCACAGAGATTCAGGTATCCCTCTTAGCGACTCTAGTTTATTCCATGATCTAGAAATCATTATATCTGACTTGATTTCTTTCTATGTCACTTTATTTTTAACTTTTTTTTTTGTTGACTGTAACATACATACAATAGAATGCATAAATTCAAGTATGCAACTCAATAAAGTTTTACAAATATATGTACACATAGAACCATCACCCAGTATCCTAGAAGCCTTTCTCTTATACCCTTCTGGTTAATACCCAGCTGTCAAGGGTGTCATCCTGACTTCTGTCAACATCAATTACTAGTGCCTGTCTTTGAACTTTGTATAAATAATGACATACACTACTGTTTTGTGTCTGGCTTCTTTTATATAACATTATAGCTTTGAAATTCACTACATTGTTAAGTATAGTAGTAGTTTCATTTTTCCTAGTTGTATTGTATTTCATTGCATGAATATAGCATATATTGTATCCATTCTACTGTTGATGGATATTTAGACTGTTTTCATTTATATTATAAGTGAAGTTACTATGACATTGTTTGTCATGTCATTAGGTAAATATTTGTCCTCATTTCTGTTGGTTATGTATCTAGGAGTAGAATTGCTAACTCATAGATATGAGATATTCAGCATTAGCAGATAGTACAAAGACTTTTCCAAGATGCCTGGAATAATTTATACTCCCTCTAGTAGCACCTGAGTGTTATAGTCTCTGTACATTCTCACCAACACTTGGTATTATCAGTTAAAAATTTCTAGCCATTCTGTTGGGCATGAGAAGTTATCTTATTATTTTATTTTACATTTCCCTGATGGCTAACCATGTTAGGTGTCCTTTTTGAGAATATTTATTGACACTTCTTTTGTGAAGTGCCTTTTCAAATCTTTGCCCAGTTTTTACACTAGTTGTCTGCTTTTTTATTATTGATTTATAGGGGTTATTTTGGCTTAAGTCTTTTATCAGATCTATGTATTGCATATATCATCTCCCACTTTGTAGCTTATGTTTTAAGTCTTCGGATCGTGACTTTTAATGAAGGGGAGTTTTTAAATTTTAATTAAGTCAAATTACTTTTATGTCCTATTGAGAAACCTTTACCTACCACAGGTCTTAAAGATATTCTCCTGTTTTCTTCTAGAGGCTTTATTATTTTACCTTTCACATTTATGTGTATGATTTATCTGGAATAGACTTTTTATATGGTATTGGGGGAGTGGATAAAGGTCACACATACCCCCTTCCTCCAGCACCATGTACTGAAAGGACCATCCTTTCCCTTTGTGCTGTATGGGCACCTTGTTGTAAATCAGATGACCTTGTAGGCTAGTATCTGTTTCTGGATGATCCATTCTGTTTCTTTTCTAAAGTTTCTGGACTATTCAGTCTCTGTTAATTACTGTGGCTGTATAATAAGTGCTGATATTCTACTCTTTAACTTCATTTTTCAAAATTGTCTTTGCTATTCTTAGCTTTTTTGCATTTCTTTGTAAATCTTAGAATCAGGTTGTTGATTTCTAAACACATATGCAAGCCTCCTGGGATTTTATTTGAGATTATTTAAAAGCTATAGAACAATTCTGGGAAGAATTGGCATCTTATCCAGTCAATGTTGGCTGATTTCTTCAAATTCTAGCTTTAGTGGATGGAAAGGCATTTGGGATGCCACTGTTCCATTTGGAATGAAATGAAGTCTAGGGCAGTCGCATGAGACAGGGTTTCCCACCATTGTTAAGAGTTCCAAATGAGAGCTCGGATTTATATCTTCCCAATGCTCCTGTGGGTCATTTCTGTACCATTTGTGCCCTGCTCTGGGCCCAGGGACAGCGACCTGTTTGGACAACTGCAATGGGCTGTCTTTGCCTCTGGCTTCACATTGGGTTCTGCCAATGGGAAGAAACATGGGCAGGTTATCAGAAGAGAAGAAAGTGAGGTCAGGGTATTGGTTTTTTGGCTCTTCCCCTGCAGGGTCACTTTGGGTTGGCTGTGTCCTCAGATTAAAGGCTGTTACAGATGCCAGTGGCCAACCACCTTCTTAGAGTTCCCTGCCTCGGTGGTGATGGTTCCCCACCACTGGTTTGGGGCACACATTGTTCATTGTTACTTCCCAACACCCTTCTCATACCTTTGGCAAATTCCCAAATTATGCAATAGAACGGGCCATCTGTTTCCTGCCAGTACCTTGATTAGTATGAAAGTGGAAGAAGAAGAATTTTCTGGACAGCTTAAAGGAATTTTGAGAATGAGGATTAGTTACGCCAGTGATAACCTTACTGGGTCTGCTCACAACAGTGTACTTCTGGCTCAACTTGCCTGAGTATAGCAGGAAGGCTCTCTCCTTCTCTTTCTGGTATCACTGCAAATCATCAAGAGACTCTTTATGATTTAAAAAGTGAGACCAGTAGCCTCAAAGTGTACCCTTAAATGCCCACAAGCATTTTAGCCATAGGTCATTTTTCACTTTTTGACTTACTGAGTTGATAATGCATGCTGCAGTGTCCGTGTTTCCACACTGCCGGCTGAGGATGTTAGAAGGTAAGGTGAGAGTGTCAAGCTGGCATAGACTGACACTAGTAATAAAACTGCCGCTATGTGAAAAATTAGAGTTGAAGCACTTCTGGGGACAGCAGCCTCAAGCTGCAATGAACGAGGGAGAACTTAACTAATTCTTAAGCGGAGTCTTACGCTGAAATCATTTAACTCCTCTTTTGACAGTTGGTTATTTAGTTGTCTGCTTTAGGAATTAATTTTTGGAGTGACATCTGTAGCCCTGGTGCGGGCTGGTGAATTTCTTTCACTGAATTAGAAATCATGTCCAAAATGGCATTTCATGACAACAGTAATTAACCTGAATCACACATCAGATAATGCTGGCAAGTATGACAGTACAAGAACTTGTGGGAGTTTAAAATGGAAAAGTGAATAGCAAATAAAACAGAATATCACATTTTTAAATGAAGTTTTTGCCTTCTTAAGAAGTAAAGAGTAAGCGGAATCCTGCTGTGGTCAATTTACATTTCAGTCGGACACATCTGCTTGTGTGTTCATTTCTGTACAAAGCTGGGTGAATCGTGTCGTTTTTAGTATCAGCCAGAGCTGTCCTGACTTTGCTCTCATCAACTTTCCCTTGAGTAACTGTCCAGACATCCAGTGTGGGGTCACATTCCCCAGTCATATGCCCTAGAAATTCACTGCATGTCTCATACTAGAAATGAACAGATGGTGGCCCTTAGACATATTTATTTGCCTCACACATTATTTTTCAAAATTGTCTTAAACTAGGAGATACAAATAAAATTATCAACTTCTGACTTTCCCTGAACAATGGGATGGACTGAGAACAGGGGCCCTCCACTCTTACATCGTGACAATCGCCTGTGACAGGGGCCTGTGCTCAGCGGGGAGCCTTGGTTTTACCTCGCTGGCCAAAAGTGGCTAAGTGACCCACCTGTCCCGGGAAACACGTGTTGGCATGTGTTCAACACAGCGAGGTTGATTGTAGGTACCAAATGTAAGAGAAACATCTGATTGCACTATTTCAGTCTGTGTATCGTTGACATGAGAAACTGTATGCCCTACGAGGCCACAGACTTTGTCTCCATTGTCTTGACAAACCCCAGTGTTTCATAAATGTTAGTAAATGTTAGGATAGAAAGGAAACTCTTACATAAGAAGACGGACCTGGCAGAGGAGACTGCTGAATGCTTGAGAAAGACTATCACCATAAGTCAGGGCTGAGAACATATAACAGAGAGTGATGGCCCTGGGAGACAATTCAAATGAAAGTCCATGGGATTTAGGCTGGCAGGAGGTAAAGGAGAAAAGGAAATGGTGAGTTTGGAACCTTCGGGGCAGTTAGGAGGGTGATAGGTCCCAGGACCCCTTCTGCTACCCCAGTCACAGCCTTCTAATGTGAAAGCATTTGAGGCTTAATTGTATTCATGATTTAGTTAATGATAATAGCTACCCTCAGAATTTTTTCCCTTATGCTTTTGACCTCAGGGCTAAGACCATCAAGAATACAGTCTCCGTGAACCTGGAACTGACAGCGGAAGAATGGAAGAAGAAATATGAAAAAGAGAAAGAGAAAAACAAGACTCTCAAGAATGTTATCCAGCATCTGGAGATGGAGCTAAACAGATGGAGAAACGGTAAGGAAGAACGGAGAGGAAGAAAGAGGCACGGATGTGTGTTTTCCTTTTCCTAGGACAGCTGGCCTCCTGGGACACTTGGGAAGGACGGGATGAGGGTGGAACTTGGTCCTGCCTTGCAACAACCTGTGGAATGAGTGACGTTTTCTCATTGCCTGGCATAGCTCCCCACCCGACCCCGTCACTCGGCTCACATGCATGCTTACTGTGGGCAAGCGACTATTTGCAAAGTTGCCTTAATCTATTTTCAATGAGATGCTCCCCTATCTGATTATTGTGCTTCCCTCCTGTAGCCATGTTTGAGGTTTAGAGGGCAGTGCCCGAGACGTTGTGGCTCAGATTGCTTTTGATTAAATGAAAAATGTCCTTCTCTCCTATGTGAGTTTTATAATTGATTTGGGGTTAAAAGTCCCCTTTGGCAAATATTTGCATTTTTTTTTTCTGGGCCCAAATGATCATGCTCTGCTTCTTCAGAGACAGAAATAGAGGGCTCTTGAAGAAGCTCTGTGCTAAAATGGAGTCTTACAGGCTTGTTTCGTGACTAGCTTTTTTTCTTTTTCCCCAAAAAACATTCTCTTTGGTTTGTTCTACTCGAAGAAAATATCTCAGAGAGCTGACATGCACTGGGTGGGTGGGTTGTGGGTGAGGCGTTGAAGAGGGGTTTCCAGATCCAAGTGCGGGCAGATTATTTCAGAAATTTTAGCATTGTGATGAAGTTAGAAGGTAGAAGTCTTTCTATTTTTTAATTTCTTTTTATTTTTAACTGAAATAAGCAGGTTGGTGTGTGTGTGTGTGTGTGTGTGTGTGTGTGTGTGTG